AAGTAATGACAAAAAAACTTAAACAAAGTCTTTTAAACATTTAACTTAAGAATGTCGTGCCATGTCGTAAAATAGAGCTCAAGGCCGGCATCGGGGTCCGTCAATGATTCGTCAATCCGCAGAGAGGAGAAGGACAACACTCGCGAGATTTCTTAGCACTTGCTTTTTAATAATAAAGATAATTCGTAGTTACACTTGTTTCAGTTAATTCAAGTACCCTGACTTGCGAGTAGGTCGCGAGTAGTATTCACGCACAAGTCGCAGTATGCATTTCGATTTAGACTGCCCGCCGCTGATTGAAGGGGCGGGCTTTTTATCGCGCCTGAGATTATTGCCTCATTGCCAATTCAGATAGCTTCCGAGTTGGTGTCGACACCCAGCTGTCAGCGCTTTTGCTTCCGGGATCGGGTTGCGTCGGTCAGTGGCCGTGCGATGCCCGGAATGCTACCTAAAGGATATGTTGTAATTACCGAATCTTGTGCTGACAGCTCGGTGTTGCAATTAGGCCACCTTAACTTTCGCCTCACAACAGAAACTTCTGATTTAATATAAATGATAATTCGACCGAAGAGATCAATTTAAAACATGATATAATGAAATAGAGTTATATAAATATAATTTAGGTCGGTATTTATAATCCGTTCTTATTTTTAAAATAATCTAAAGTATACTTTTCCGATATTATTATGAAAAGACCATATGTTAATCCCTTAAGATTGTACTTGAAGTAATTTTAAAATAAGAAACAAAATACGAATATTGATGTTTTATATTGTACCAAAATATCCATTTCTAGATTATAAATATTGCTGATAACACATTAAAAGGATAAATATGCAGTATAGCGCCAACCTCTCCAATTTTGTTAAAACTTTTTTATTTTGCATATTTTGAGTCGAAAAAAAGGAAAAAGAAAATCGTCGCTCATGTTCCGTTTGTTTATAATTAATATTTATGATATTTCGATGTCGGTAAGTAAGGAATTGACAATTTATGTATATATTTTTATTTTTTTATTAATGCGCATGCGTAATAATCTTGCGCCTTACTTCAATTAAGTCATTTAATTGTATCCTATTACGTCATAATTATATATTTTAAAATTATAATTATTAAGATTTTCCATCCATAAAGCGCTGACTAACGATTAATGACTCATTGTAGACTGGCCATTACAAGACGGCATATACGTACGTGTGCGATTTTGGATACACTTTCCTTCGAGCCTGTTCACGCGAGGCGGTTTTGACGCGCGGTTGCGCTGCCGCGCATGGCCGCGCGTTATTGCGAGGTGAGACTGGCGAGATGCGACAACGCGCGCATACGATACGCTTTGCAGCATTTTAGATCCACAGATACGCCGCGCGCCGTCGAGCGTACGCCATTTCGCGTATGCGCGTATGCGCGCGACAGCGCGTGGCTCGTGCAGACGATAACGCGCGGCAGCAATCGCGCGGCAACCGCGCGACAGAAACGCCTCGTGTGAATAGGCTCTAAAGATTTCCTCGGTATCAGCTCCATGCCGTCAATATATATTTCACTATCTGTTATCACGCGGCGACGGTCACAACCGTCACTATTTCTAGATTATAACTGACTGACAGCGCGCTGAACGCACTGACTACGATCTTACAGACCGTGGCAAGGCGTGGCACTGACTGCACTGATCGAGCGCAATACGCACACGTACATATATCGATATATCGATCGACTCGAATGGATTTACCCGCTGGGTTGATAATATGACCATTGACCATACACTTTGCATCGCAAATATCTCCGCTTGTAGAACACATAGCGTAAAAATAAAAACTTTTATCTTATAAATTTGGATTCAGCTTATTTATATTGTTTTCTTGTCTAAAATTATTCTGAGCTTTATCCTTTTAGATTATAATTTCGAATATCTATCATGCTAATGTAAGATTAATACTAATTAGTGTAAATGTTAATTTTCATGATTAAATGTTGCAATAATTAAAATAATCTAAAACACGAATGAAACATATACAGTAAAAATATATTTAAATATTTCAGATACAAATACAATTGCATTTCAAAATAATTTATTCTTAAAAATTTTTATAAATGGTTCGAACAATTCTTCGTAAGCGATTTGAGTTTTTGTACAAATTTTGGCACGTTGCACTCTAGCTGCACTATGCTTTTATAACAAGTTTGTTAATACTATGTTAAATCTCCGTAATAAATTTTAGGCTATTAAATTCTTAATAAATTTCAAAATATTAAAGTATAATTTTAATAAAAATTCTGTCACAGTGGTGTGGAGCATTTTCACCACAATTCAACGTGCTGTGTGTGGACGCTCGAAATGCGAATTCCTTAGTATCTTCAAAGAGAAATAATCGACGCAGATTAATTACTTGGCATTGTCTGAGTATTACGTAAGGCGTGTCCCGGAGACCGCGTTGCGTAATTAAATAAGGTGTATGCGTAAGGCTGCGGCGGGGAGCGACAACGCTTGCTTTAATGTCGTTGCTTTAGTTGAGTTGCAATTGCGCCGTAATTGTACGATTGCGCAATTAAATTGTGGTCCCATTCGCCGTGGTACGTTTCCTTAGGATGAACGCTTTGGGTGTCTCGCAACTTTCAAGATAAAAAAGAAATATATACAGGAATTCCTGACATTCGGCTCGCTCGCTTTTCTCGTGGCTCCGTTTCTTCACGGCCACGGTTTTATAAACAATGATTGCTATAAGTTAAAACACGCTATCGCAAGTTCGAACACGTCGCGATGCCATTAGCTCATTTCGTGTCGCGACGAGTATTCTTCGTCAAGACGATGCAGCTATTTACAAGTCTTCTAAAACGCTGAAAGACGTCTCGCGGGCGACTGATGGAATTTTGACAAATTAAAACATCTTTCAGACACCTTTCGAACATATACGTATTGTTTGCTACTAAATTGACTAGGCTCCTATTTATTTGTAAATGGTTCGTGACACGTTTGGTGGAAAAAAGAAACGTGAAATACGTGCTAGAACTGCTAATCATCATGCTGCTTTGTAATCACCACACTTGTAGTTCACAGCCGGTCACACGTTTGCAGAAACTAACAACTATCTTTCAAAATTATAGTTAACAAATGTATGTATGTGTGATCTGAGTATTTTCCTCATTATGTCTCGCTTCTTGGCATTATTTTTGTCGACATATCTCGTTCGGTTTCGCGAGTCACTTCGAGTTATGTAACAGTTGCTTTCCATTTACACTCAAGTGATCTGCGAGTCACTCAGTTACGTGAGTATTTTATACTCAGGTAAGACATGTCATTTTGTATTTACCTGCTTATGGTAAAATTATCGTATAATAATATAGGTCCATAGCCTTACTTTTAATGTGAGTTTATTAGATTCATTAAAGCACATGGTCTCGATTGTGAATAAAAACTCAGTTGAATCTCACTTACCAGCATGCAAAAAGAACGTGCATTTAACTGAGTTATGACGTCACAAGTGAGAATTATCTGAGTTTTGATGTAAATGGAAAGCAACTAACGCCCACGATGAAGCAAGACGTTCAAATTGTTTTGACAGCGCGAAGCATCCAATTCTCTTATCCCGTAATAAGAAAATCAGGAATTGTTAAAAGTTCTCCACGCTATATGTGTGTGATTGTATGCGTGCGATGATTGTAATTCTATCTCAGATTTCCGTTTCGCTTAGTCGAAGCAGTATGGTTGGTTTATCGCGTATATAACGGCGAAAGCTGCCGCCAGAAGTAGCGATCCGCTCAGATCACCTAGTGCCGTCAAGTAGGGGATCGCCGAGTTGTCGGGATCGATTTTGAACCTCCACATCGCGTGGATAATTATGTGCGCGACATACAACAGAATCATCACCTGGAGAAAAGAAAATTTTCGTTATGGCTTATTGTTTCGCGGTTCAAAATCAAAGCAGGACAATTTGTAATTTCGTGGACTTACTTGTATTAAGGAAACAACTAGATAAGAGATTACGAAGTAGGTGTGTAACTTGCAATCGCCCGGATTTAAAGCGTCGGCGATGAAGACGAAGACCAATTGACCAGGGACCGCCATAGAGAGGAGCAACCTCGCGGTCTTGGCATACGGCGCTGCGTTTGTAAAGAAAGAAGATCTTTAGATATCGAGTATATTCTATAAGTATTAAAATGTGTTTTTTTCTCTAGAAATCTAAAAATCGGCAAATTACGGCTCTCTAATATACAATAAAAATAATTATTATTATGTTATAAATCACATCAATTAAAATTTAGTTTTCTTTTGTTACATAAGTATTACACAATATCCTCGATTTTGTCTCCCATCCGTAAAGCCTAAAATATTTATTACCTGACCCTTTGCTGATCTTTTTACTACAGCTAAACGAGAAAAATCAATGTACGTAGACAAAAGATGAGAAAATTTATTGTAATTTATTAGATACGGGATTACAGATTACAGATATGTCTAATTGTAAGATAATTAAGTTAAAAGTGGAATTATACGTACTTCCTACTAAGAGCGCGGTCCACGGAAACACCCAAATTTTGCCGTACGACGGCAGAATTCCCATGATAGCAGACTGGTGCAACATGGTTGACATTCGAGACGCTTGCACCGATACCAAGTTGCCGCCAATTCCGTTAATTACCGGTTGAAAGACTTCGGATCCTTTAAAAGAATCGATTGATCTCTCAAGTACTAAACCTCCTCCGCTAAAAATAAGAACAGAAATAAATGAATAAACTGAAAATACAATTATGCGATAAAATTCTCAAATTATAATTAATTGATCGACATGGTGAGTTAAAAAAATGAAAATTAATAATATATTAATAACATAATTGCGTAAGAAAGAGATTGACTCAAATATTCGTGAACAAACAACTCGGATAAAATTCCTTGGAAAACTGTAAAACTTAAAATATTATTTTGATTACTAACCCACTGATTAGGAGGGCGGACAGAATGGGAACCCAACCGGACTTCAATACGGTTCTCGTATACTTGTTCTTCAGCACGATTAAGATCCAAATCGGCAGAAGAACCACTATAAACAATCCGATAACGACGTACAGGACCCATACTTGGTTGAATACCAGCCTATTGTAAAATTCCGATGCGACGAAGGAGAGAATACTGATGGACACGACGTCGCCGATAGACGCGGCCAGCGGAGTCGCCAGATTGTCCGGGTTCATCTTGAATCGATAGGATATCATGATCACAGCGATCAAGACGAAGTCTATGGAGAAGAGATAATTTTGCCGACAATTTAAAATTCTGCCTATTAAAGTACGTACTACATAATAAAGAAGAATTTAAAGGAGGATGCATACTAAATGTCAAATTTAACAGTTTAGGAGTTAGAAAAAAAAAGGAACAAAAAGAATATAATAAAATAAAAAGAATTCTCTAGTTTTAAAAAGTTAGTTTGCAACAAATATTAATAATATTATATAAAGAAAGAGAGAAAGAAGGAGGAAAGAGAATTATAATAAACTGTTCTTACAATAGATTAACAAAACTATTTGTTATAATAATAATATATTTAACGATAATAACAATTATATGATCGATAACATGATTAAATAATCTGACGATCTGCATGCTAATGAAATATGAGACTCATTTCGTATACTAGAAATGATTAAAGATATACATATTATTTTAATCAATAATCATTTCAATCGAATTCATTAGAATATTGCGAACAGAAGAATGAAATGTGAAATATTGACAATGGGTAACATAAATCAAGAATTCAGAACGCGATAATGTATGTATGCAAAATGCGTGTAATATCGAGTAATATTTAATATTTTCATCGAGAGCGTTCGAACGGAAAAGTTTCAGCAACGGCAAAAAAAGATCCCCGGTAAAAAAGAAATGTAGATAAATGAAACACGTGCATAAAAAAAGCATTATCTATCTACTATTGAGCATATCTGTATCATTTATGATCTGCTAACGTGGCTAAAGGAGATAATGTCTATTAATATAATGCACGACTGGAGTTGCAAGCAGCGATAGCAGTCGTTGCTAATGCTGAATTAGCATTCAGCAATAAACGACGGATAGTTACACTTCAAAGGAGTGTCGATTCGTGGGAGATTAGCGCGTAAAAGGTATGCGTTAATCGGCTTAATGAGCATGCCGGCCGGCGAGAGGATGGCTTACCCAAGATAAAGCAGGAACTGGTCGCCGTGCACATGCACGAGACCGCCAGCATCAACGCGTGATTCCACTCGAAGCCGTTCCCGTTGATCCCGCCTACCCCCATGCCGAACAACGACAGGCAGACGGCCGCGACGATAGCCTGGATCTGCACCAGGGCAATGTTCCCGACGATCATCTTGACGATCTCCCGCCGACTGTTCATGTTACCTAAATTCGCTTGGGTGCTCAGCCGCGATGCCAGACACATATCGAGATTACCCTTTAAACCCTGCAGCGACGTCGTCAGGATCAGCAGTTGGGGGACTTCTACGAAAGCGGGCATGTTCTGAAATCGAATACGTCGAGATTAGAATATAGTGTGTGTGAAGCGATATTTTATACGAGGTAAATTTATCATTATTTTAATTGCCATGTAAAAACGAAGAACAGATCGAAGAATGCTGGGCGCGTTGATATACATGCATCATGATAAGATTATACAGAGGGTTATTTAATTATTGTTAATTTTACTTAATTATTATTATGCTGATTGATTCTATTTTATTATTTACTATATTTTTTAGATATGATATCTTGGCGAACTACGATCCGCAGGTCAAATCCACCGTTTGTTTTTTATATGCCCTACGTAATTATTATTAGCCAGTTAGCTCGATTAAAAAGTCTTTACTGTTAATTAGGTTTAATTATTTACTGGCAAAGAGTTACTTATTCGGTGTAATTATTATTATTACATTTTCAATTTTCAATCAATAAAAAATTTTTTCTTTTTTGTTATATAAGTACGTACATAATATCTTTAATTTTGCCTCTTGACCCGTAGAATCTAAAAAAAATTATTATCTCTTCATAGGAAAAACTTGTCGACTATAAAGTATGGCAAAGGCCAAAGGCAGTGGTTTTAGTTTGCATTAAGAAAGAGGTAATTTAGAAGTGCAAGTGTTTAAGATGTGCAGCATACAATTAATGCGTTGCTTATTCTTATCATGATACACACGTATTGTTGATGAGTTGACTCGTCGTAACCGCTCGTTTCAAGATGCTTCAAGCTATTATATATGTAAACCCGCGATAAGACTTGATTATTTTGTTTTCAGCTAATCGTATGATTGCAGATAAATTCCTCGATGAAATGCACCTGTAATCTCCGTTTGGAATCTACATGAGGTCGCGGTATTAAAAATGTGAACGGCATTCAAAGTGCTTATGTAATCGCGCGAGTGTTAAGAACGACACCGTACATATGTATATCCTGCGTCGCCGTACGATCGATAAAATGTATCGGAAAATATTGAAGAGCGCATCAATTTCGACACCGTTTCTGATAACAGTAGAAGTAGATCATTCTTCTATCTCGGAACAAATATACCTCTATGAAAGGATAACGCAGGAAAAAGATAAAAAGGTGAAAGAAATGAGAATGAGGGGTGGGGGGCAATTGTGATATCCAAGTTTCAACACTTCTTTAAAAGGGTGATGCGGAAAAAAATGAAAAAAAAAGAAAAAAAATAAGAATGGACGATTGGATTGTGATATCCCAGTTTTTTCTCCACAATAGCTGGTATTCATAGTTATTTAAGACCGTCTTAAGTTCAATCTTAAGATGTCATGAACCAATCACAGAGCCGTATTAGCCGTATTAAGACATTACTTAAGACGATCTTGAAGACTATGAATACCGGCCAATGTGGCGTTTTCTTTGAAGAGAGGTCCTTACCTTCGCGGTGGTGAGAACACGACCGGCGCCGATGGTACCCATACCAGCGATGAAGAAGGGTATCGACACTTGCATGAGCGTGTGGTACCATTTTTCATTTCTAATGTCCTTTCCGCCGTGGATCGGAACGTTTGGATCCTTACGACGTTTGGATCCTTCCTCATCGGGATCCAAGACGGCGTTCGACGAAATTGTGACAATGGAACTGCCGCTGGAGAGAGATCCATTCCCGTTTACTCCGCCGGGCGTGTCTTTCTTGTCCACCTTGTCACCGCCGGATGTCTTCAAGCCGGCTGTCGACGCATCGGTTACATGTTAAGTAAAATCCCGCTCAACGGACAGTTCGCAATGAGTATCCTAAATAATGACCGTGCTAAAATTGAGAGATACGATCAAGTAATTTGTCGCTTCGTTCGGGCACGGTAATTACCGGCTACAAGAATTAGGAGTCGTTTGTATATATTTTTTCTTTAAAAATGAGAATTTATAAGCTGACATCGTATAACTCTTTTCTGAACTGTAATTAACTCGTGTAATTAAGACCCCGCTCTTGAGTTGATTTTACATGAGATTTAAAGAGAGAAGAAAGGCTCACTGACGATCGGTCCCTTGGTGGCCGTCAACATTTCCGCGCGTCGTCATTCTCGTGTAAACAAACTCGCGCTCCGCAAAGGCACGTAAACGGCGCGAGGCGATTACTGAATGCGTCTTCTGTCCGCGTCGACATTATAAACTGGCGCAAGTTTATGGTACCCGGAATTACGACGGTCGTGCGACGGTCAACGGATAAAAATCATCGGTGAGTTACTTCGCGTTGTAATCGTTGTAATCACCATTATGCGGCGCAATTTTTTTTCCCACCATACTCGCGAGCGATTTGTCACATCGCGATGACGATTTACTTCGTTCGCTTCCTGTAGGTGCGAAGTAAACATGAGTTTCGTGATGCGAAGCGATACAAACGAGCAATGATGCCGTCCGTCGATTGTGCTGTCGGAATTTGTCTGGCTCTAAATGGCAGCGCGTAAATTTCGCTTTATCAAATGGCAATATTATAGCGTAAATATATTTTATTGAGAAAATTTTTTCGTAGATTCGCAGGGATTTCGTGTAATTTTTTTTTTTTGCAAAATTGCTAAGAAATTTACAAAAAACTAGAATATTGTGGAATAAATAAAAATTATAAATATATAAATATAATTTGTAAATATAAATTAATAAAAATTTCAACTCAATTTCATTGACAGAACCTAGGATTTTTCACAATCACTAGTAAGATTGTGTAATCTTTATTCATTTTGTAATATCCCGGTTTTTTAATGGATTCTTTAAGTATTTTGCAAAAAAAAAAAAATTACTCAAAATTCCTGCGACATATATGTATACTATTCCACTATTATTTACTACGAAAGTTTGTCGTGTTAGATAAATACACGCAACATTCATGTAATTTTCACGCTGGCGCGTCTGAATATATGTAACTATTATTTTTAGTCGAAGGTTACAGCCTATTTGGTGACTAAACATTTTTAATTGCTAAAATAATTTACGCTACGAACAACAAGAAGATAAAAAGTAACAATAACGAGGAAATCACCACGTAGGAGTTGATAAGTAAATATCAAGTTTCAAGTACACGAAATTGTCCGCCTTATAAGGCCTTTGCACAATGCTAAGTGATAGTGATAGCAATAGCAACAAAATTTTCAACCTATTGGAAGCTGTGTATCAATGCTGTAGCTTTGTCGGTGATTTTGTCGCTATCGCTTTAGCATTGTGCATCCAGCTTTACAACGAAATCCATATTAGGTTGTATTGCTTCAATAATATTTACTTTTCCGTTGAACTTGTTCCTTGGTTTTTCGTCGCTAATCGTACTTTTCGCGCGGAATGAGCGCACGCCTCATGATAAATCGAAACTCTGTGTTTTATAATTCTATTCAAATAAATTCGAACTTCAATGCCGCGAACGCGGATGCAGTCTTTATCTTCGTTTGCGGCGATCGAAACCGATCGATACCATTATTGACGTAAGAATTTATGTACCGTAAGATATTTATGGTACTCTGAGCAACGATTTACGACGTTTAAGCCGAACACTTGCTATGCACACCTTTCAACAGTTTATTTTTTATCTTTCCTAGTTAATGTCGCGCAAGACTTTCGGAATTAGCATTTAATCATTTAATCGCATAAACATGGTCACGCGCGCGATGTTCGGGTGCGCGCACACTCGAGTTCGACCGCGTTGATCACGCGACTTTCCTTACCGGCGACTTTCTTCACGAAGACAGGCTCCGGGTTAATGTCCACGCTCAGCTTCTTGTCATTGATCTTTTCGATATTGTCGAAATTCAGCGCATAGTTGTCCATACCGTTTGTTGCGCGTATAGTGAAAGCTTCGTCCCTGACTCTTCCAATGTCGGTCGCCCTGTCATCGTTGTTCCCGTTGCTGTCTTTTGACGTGATACCAGTGCCGTTCTTCGACGTCGGATCAATCTCCGAGTCCCGAAAAGCGACCATATCTGAAAGACAAAGGATTCAATTAAGCGGATGCCTCATTCCAATCTTTATTCGAGATCTTCGCAATATATCCCAGATTTAATGTTTGGAACGAATCGTACAAACAGAGAAACGTAACGGTTTCCGAAAAAGCAGGTAATTTAGTTATTATTAAGTTATAATAAAACTTGAAAATTAACGTAGTTAACAGATTATAATAATGTAGTAGAGCTTTGACGGATTATAATAATTGATTATAACATTGATGGAAAGTAATGCATTGTATATGTAATAATTTACAATTATAGAGTTAAAACTGTATTACAAATATAAAACTGTAATTATAAAAATTACAGATTGGATCGTGATATTTGCACGTCGTAACGCTTGTTTTCTTATTCTAATACATCGATAAATAGAGTTCCTTTAAATGTATCTTTTTTTAGACTTTAAATATGACTTCTATCTCTTTTTTTTTATCGCAAGTGTCCACTTGTCATTTCATTTGCCTTCGATAAATATGTAAAACTGCAAAACCAGGAAACATGAAAATTAACTCAAACGTGAATAGAAGTCATATTTAAAGTCTAAAAAAAATACATTTAAAGAAACTCTATTTATCGATGTATTAGAATAGGAAAACAAGTGTTATAATACGACGTGCAAAGATCACGGTCCAATTCGTAATTTTTATAATTGCAAAAACGAGGTAAAACAACGCGTGATTTTATGCGGTTAAATTTTGGAGTTCTCCAAAGATTTCTCGGTGTGATTCCTTTTCTTCATGCATTCATATTACAGGGAATGAAACTCAATATATATATATATATATATATATATATATACATACCGAATTCGCTGCTGGCCTACGGTGTTGTAATAGTCCGTTCGGCAGAGGTTGATCTTAGGATCAACCTGCGACAATCTCACGTCGGATCGGCCTGTTTCCGCGATCTTCGACCTACAAAAACTGAAAATACTCAATTTATAGATCATTCAGGATATCTGGAAAACTGTTTGCCATATTACAGTAGTCGGGTAATCAAATTAATTTGCGCGCAAGAACTCGTGTATTAGCGATTTATAATATCGTTATCGCGACTATCGAAGCCAACACAATTGCATATCTAGTCGAGACCATCGCGCTTATCAGAGAGAGGAAAGGGAAAAAAAGAACCGATTAACGGCGGGGGTGCAAAAGTGCGAAGATAAGAGAAACGGAGGTCAGAAATTCGAGGCTCGCCGCGATTACGCAAGCGCATCGTTCGCACGCGTATTTCTTCGGAATGTAATGAATTAGACATCGTGAGATTTTCAAGCTTGAATTCGATCCGCGTTTTTCGAGAGCGCGGAAACCCGAGAACTCGCCGCGCGCGCGCGCGCTCGCCGCGGAACTCTCCGCAGGCGTATAAAATCGATAGTTCAATATAAACCTAATCGTTTGTAGCCGACGCCGGACGCGTAATTCGTAACCAACGAGAACGTCCGCCAGACAGAAGCAATCGATACCTAATCATGACTAACGGTTTTACCTCGTGTGCTTGCACAATATGAGTTATGAGTCGTCCGTAAAAATAGCTGCATCAGGTTTATCGCATATTTCTACCTGTTGAAACTATTAGGCACGAAATTTGAACGCCGTTAAGTTAAGAATTCTGTAATAAGAGTAGGTAAATAATGACTAACATGCGATAAGATAGAATAAATAAATATTGACATTTTTAATTATCGAGATTTAATGCCTAATAGTAATTTTTATAAATTATATATATTTTGCTTTTTATGCCTTAAAAGTTCTGTGTATATATTCGTACGCGTAAGATTGCTAAGTATAACAATATAACACTTATTATTCATTAATCGAAAATCCAAAAGTTTCCTTGTCTACGATCCTTGAACTTCGATTCTCAAACAGGAAATTTAAACGCACAT